CTTCTGAAATTCAAAGCAAAATACATCAGAGTATCTGTATTAAGACCTTACTAATTAGAAAACATTTTTACATGAATCACGTCTTCTCAACAATCACGAACAACCACTGAATTCCTTTACAAATGAAGATACTTTGCCCATGGTCTCATTGCTGGTGTCAGGGGAGTCCAGAGCTCCTGTGTGCCTTCCAGAAAACCAGAGTGAACATATGACCCCCTGAAATTGAGACATTAAGAACTGGACAAAAGCCTCCAGGTGTCTGACCAGGATGGCATAGAGCTAGACATACTTGTCACCTTTCCCTGAAGTTGCCTGGGATGCTCTTGACCACATGGAGCCTCCTTCTTGAGAAGCATCGCTAAGGAGCTATGATACACAATTACATTCCAGTGCTGAGTTTGGGGCACAGTGAGATGCAATGTCATTAGGCCATTGCTACTAGTATTGTGACAGCTCCAAGGTGTCATCATTCATATCCATCCACATGTTCCATGCACTGGAGAGTGTTGCCATTAAGCACTGGGGCCATGCACGGAATGCACAGCACCAATCCTGTGCTCTGCCTTGGTTTCATCAACTAGAAATTGACAAGCCCACTTGCTAAGGTATTTTTGAGTGCTAGAAGTGAGAATACATGCAGTCCTGATGTAGATGAGGTGCCGAGGGGTGTCACTCTGTCACCCTGCCTGCCTGGGTCACCAGATCATTTGATAAGCACACTTTCCTTCTCTCTGCAAGTCACCAGAAAACTGTTGAACAATCCAGGGCAAAAGACTAGTCCCTCTAGGTTAGCAGCCTTTGGTTATGCTGTCTGGCTGTTTTCAAGCTCAGTAGGTGAAGAGAAAGTCAATAGCTCTAGGCTGTTGGCTCCAATGCACACCTGCTGTGGGATTTTGGACAAGTGAACCCACCATGCTTTATTCTTCTCCCAGCACCACAGAAGACCACAGTGTGGGTTCTTTTGGGGAGGTTGTGAAAAATTAAGTAAAATTGTGTTATAAAGCACCAGACAGGTAGACAGTGTGATGGCTTTGTAATTCAGCCACTCTTACCTAAAACTTACTCCTTCTTATTCACATGGCATGTTGAGTGACCTTGCCAGAATGTCCCCTGAAACACACAATTTTTTTTTTTTTTGTATTGGAGATTGAACCCAAGGTCTCATGCATGTTAAGTACTCACTCTACTACTGAGCTACATCCCCAGCCCAACACTGTTTCCATGTTAGGTATAAAAAGGAACTGCCACTCTGGTTCCCGTGAGCTCTTTGCTGTCCACAAGGAACTGCCTACTGACCAAGGAAGGTCTTCTTCCAACAGAGCCTCCTCCCTACAGGGACAAGTGTCTATAGCTTGTCCTGACCATGGAGAGCATGTGCAGTCTATCTGTTCTTGGCATCTTCTTTATCAGGCACTCAGCAATTTCTCTCTGCCTTGAGAATTATTTTGGAAAACAAAGTTTTCCAAAATCTGAGGATTAGGTGCTCTGCTCTAAGAGGGAGCTGAATTCTTGGAGTTTCCCTAAGAGAAGGACTATGAAGATTCAAAGGCAGGCACTTGAAAGAGTAATTTTTAGGGCCTGAGATACACAGATATTTTGAACAGAGGGTTTAAATTCTCTTCTTTCCTACCTCCCAAAGTACCCAAATCAACTTGCATCTTGCCTCGTTTCTGAAAGTGGCTCTTTATCAAAATATTAGCAATAACTTTAAAATGCTATAATTTTTCTTGTGACACATGTATACCACGTAGCTGTTCTTTAATTTACTATGATAAAAACAATCATTATTGTTCTTTTGATAAAGCCCAATATGCACTGACATATTTATCAGTTAATATGTAGCTAGATGGTACACAAACAATGGTCTGATTATTTTAAAATGTCAGCCTGCTAGGATCTTTGGACCCTAAGTAAAAGCCAATGTAGGGCATATCACCTCAAGTGGAAGTTAAGGTTAAGTGAGGAAAAGGGCCAAGGGCCAGACGGTGACAAGCCTGTAAGAAAACATGCATTTTCTCTAAGTACTGCAACCAAGAGTTGACACTATACCACTTTGGCTCATGTACAAAGCTAAGTGCTGCTGAAAATGATGACACTTTGTGATAAGCCAATTTTTTGATGGCTAAGTGTGTGTGTGGGGGATGTTCCTTGACTGATGGGAAAACCAGATCCATTACTACAAAAATCAAATACAAACTTGAAATGATCCTTTAAATCACACACACACACACACACACAGACTGTTTTTTTGGTTGTTACTGCTTCTCTCTTGCCTCAGAACTCCTGTCACTGGCAAGTTATACATTAGCCAGTGCTGAGTTGCAACAAAACCAGTGGGCGTTATGTCCTGAGAGAAAGTGGAATGTTTTCCTCTTTACTTTGCTTTCATCCCCTAAATCATAACTGTGCTTCATCAACCAACCTTCCTTCCTTTTTGGGCCTTCTTTAACCTAATCTGAAGATAAGGATACACCCACCAACATTTCTAGCTTGCGTCAGAAGTGACGAGGCTGAGAGGAAGAACACACAAACACTCCCCACGCTGGAGGCGGAGGACAAAGGTTACTGCTCACAGACCAGCTCACACAGGTGCCCCTTCCTCCTGAAGTCCCTGGATGGGGTGTGAGCAGAACTACTCACCAGCGGTACTGTTCTGAGAAAAGAAAGAGAAAACCAAGGGGGAAAGTGAACAGTCCTACAGAGAACTGGGCAGGCACGTTCTCCTGTGATATGAAGTCTACAATATTTGAAATTACAACAGGATTTTGCTTTCATACACCCTTCAGTGACTTAGTCAGAACTTGTTAAGACATTAAAACATGCTCAAGTGAGCAACAGTACGCTGGCCTACATATTTCAGCATACTCTTAATACTCCCTTTCCATTAACGTAATTATTTCCTACTCAGTTAAAACGTAAGTGGCATTTGAGCATGTCACAGACAGGGCTGAGTGACCCTTAAACCTTTAAAGGACTATGAAAACAAGCGCTATCACTTTATTTGCAAATTATCATGTATGAAATGGACAGCTCAGCAAATTTAACAGTAAACAAGCATGTACACCACCAAGTAAATGTGAATTTTAATGAGCTCCTTTTATATGACTCCAACCAGTTATCATCACAAATATGCACTCTCAGCACCTACGATGGTAAGAAACAGCCCACACCTCAGCACACAGACATTACCAAAGCTGGCCAACCATGTCTTTGCCAGGATAAGCTGCAGCTGATGCCTGTTGGTAGCTGGTCCATTTTGCCTTATAAAAATTTTAGATTGGGACTGAGAATTAAACTCCCAAATTAAAAACCATTAAGTTTTTAAGAATTAAATGTGCATTCTTTCAAATAGCAATGAAATCCCTTGGGTGAGCATGTAGATACACAGTGAAGGCAGTATGTTTGGGGTGCCCTGGACTGCCAAACAACGAGACCTCACTTTTGGCTTCAACAGGTGGGGTGGGAGGTGCCTCCAACTGACTGACAGAAACACCAAGGGCTGTCTTCAGCATGACCACATTTATACCTGGGCACCACTTCAGATGGCATTCTGGCTTGACAAAAATCAGCGTCAGGTAAAGCTATATTATCTTTGAAGGCATTACTATCCTTGCATTTCCATAGTTAACTCTACAGTTCACAATGTTCCACGTATCTCACACCTATGCCCCTCTCCAAGGTCTGGTCACAGACCTCGGACACACCTGAGACTCCTTCCATGGATATTTTGCCAGCTACAGCTAGGAAGGCATGATGCTGTCTGTTAGAAGAGAAGAAAGAGCTATTGTGCTGACCTTTTTTCTTTGTAGAAATCAGATCGCTGGGAGCCAGGAAGCAGAGGACAGTCTCCACTTGTAATGACAACCCCAAGCCAAGTCCATCCTTGGGGCATCACTTCCTTCCTCTGTTAACTCTGGGAGGAGGTCTTAGAAGTTCAACAGTAGCAGGCCTCTTATGGGCTTCACTTCTTTGTGGCCCTAGTCTCTGACTGTATTAATTCTTCAGCATCTGTACTGCGTTCTAGAAATACAAATGGCTAACAAATACCTGAAGAGATGTATAAGTCCTTAGCTATGAAAGAAACGCAAATTAAAACTACACTGAGATTCCATCTCATTCCAGTCAGATTGGCAATCATCAAGAAAACAAACAAGTGCTGGTGAGGATGCAGGGGAAAAGAAACCCTCATGCACTGTTGGTGGGAATGTAAATTGGTGCAACCACTACGGAAATCAGTAGGGAGGTTCCACAAAAAACTAAAAATGGATATACTTTACTGACCCTGCCATACCACTCCTGGGCATAAATCAATGTATGAGAATACCTGCATATCCACGTTTACTATAGCTCTGGTCACAGCAGCCGAACTCTGGAATCAGCTGACATACCCAACAAAGATAAACGGGTAAAGAGGATTCTCTGCACACCCACACACACCAGAGTATCAGCCGTAAAGGAAAATGCAATGAGGTCATTTGCAGGAAAATGGATAGAACTGAGTATCATCATGTCGAGTGAGGTACGGTGACCCAAATGTTGCAGAGAAGTCACATCCTGTATGTTCTCATTCATTTGTGAAACCCAGAAGTTAAAAAATGACGATGACGACGACGATAATAATAGACATGCATGTGAAAGGGAGATGGTCTGATGGGGAATGAAGCGAGGGGGAAGGGAAAAGGAAAGAACACTTGAGGGGTGAAGAGGATCGAAGTACGCTCTACACACACACACACACACACACACGAAGACAGTGTCATGAAATCCACCAGTGTCTGAAAAAAGGGAAGATAATAGAGGGGGTAAACTAGTTCCAAGTACACTGCACGCATGATGTATGTTAACTCAAAAATATGACAAAAAGATGACAAATACTTTAAATTGGAAAAAAAAAAGTACTATATTCTAGGACTGTGTAAGGGGCTGCTTGAAAGAGTTGCTTTTAAAGTTCAACATGCAATTTGAAAGTTCAATTTGAAAAAGATGTGGTAAGGGAATAATTCCAAAGTTTTCTTTTCACTAATTTTATTGATGTTAGGTAGTATTCACTCAGAATATCAGTTCATTTTTCAGGTTGAGATGTACATATGTGTGTTTGTTCATATGCATGTAATCACTTAGAAACTTTATTTGGTATAATTTCACATTTTTGGTATACAGAAATAATTTTATTTTCTTAATGCAGCACAGTAGACATACAGTCAGTATTATACCCTCAAGTGTGCAATATATAAATTATTCACATTAAAAAATCAAGAACGGAAAGCTTCATATGCAGGAAAGACTTAAAAACATGTACCTAATTTTTAATGCTTTTGGCAATATAGACTACTATCATAAATCTGAATCAGACTATGACATGATACACGTTGAAATGAATACACAGATGGGCCCAATCCAGATGCTTAGTGCACCAGACAAGTACTTGCTCTTCACTTTGGTCACTGAGATTCCATGTGCAGAGGCCTAGAGTGGATCTGAAAGATTCTTCCAGAAGTCTGCTTATTACAGTGGTGCTGTAAGAACTTCTGTTTCTCCTATTCTCCTTTATAGCGGGGGGGCCTTTTCTCTTTGAAAGCAAGAAGACCTTCCAGTCTGTCTTTCGTTGAAATGGTCTAAGAAAACAAAACATTATATACATCAAAAGTTAAAAACACAACAGTATAGCATTACCTAACAAGCAGCTCATCCTAAACTTTTGAAGCTACTAGCACTTGAACAATTTGCCTAATTATGTGACCAAATTATTTTTACTCCAAATATCTTCTGTTCCATTTCAAAAGTCTTTAAAAATTTAAAGATTTTATTTTTTTTCAGAGCAGCCTACATTAACAAAATAGAGAGATATCCAATGCACTGCACTCTATCCTAGAGCTCTGCACCACTGTCCTATTAATATCCTGCATTAGTGTGGTACAACTAATAATAAATGATGAACCAACACAGATGCGTAAGTATTAACTAAAGTCCACATTTCCATTAGGGCTCACTTTTGTGTTGAGTGTTTTATGGGTTACTTCACAGTATTATGTAGCATAGTTTTACTGCTGTAAATACCCTTTGTACTCTACATGGTCATCCCTGGCCTGCATCACTTAAAATTATCTCTGCAGTTTTGTCTTTTTTAGAATGAACTGGAATCACACAGTACGTAGTCTTTTGAGACTGAATCCTTCACTTTACAGTATGTACTATGGCTCCTTCATGCCTTTTTTGTAGCTTGACAGCTCCTATCTTTTTATCACTGTATGATATTTCACCATACAGAAGTACCACAGTCTATCCATTTACCTACTGAAGGACAACTTGATTGCTTCCAAGTTTTAGCAATTATGAAAAAAAAACTTGGTGTACAGATTTTTGTGCAGATAAAAGTTTTCAACTTAGTTGTGTAAATACAAAGGAGAACCATTGCTGGATCACTGCTTTATTAGAAACTGTCAAACTTTCACAAAGTGGCAAACCATTTAACATTTCCAGCAGCAATGAATGAGAAGTTTCTGTAGCTCCACATCTTATCAGTACTTGGATGTTTTTAGTTTGGGATTTTAGGCATTCTAACAGGCTGGATGGGCATCTCACAGTTTAATCTGCAATTTCTTAATGATATTTGTTTCTGGCATCATTTCATATGACTATTTGCCATCTGTGTATCTACTTTGGTTTAGATCTTCTGTCCATTTTAAAACTGAGTTGTTCATTTTCTTGTCGAGTCTTAAAAGTTCTTCAGAATTTAGATACAAGACCTTTATTGGGTATGTGTTTTGCAAATTCTCCCAGTCATCCTTTTATCAGTGTTTTTTTTTTTAAACGAAGAAGTTAATTTTAATGAAGTTGAAGTTATCAATTTTTTTCCCATGGATTGTACTTTTGATTTTTTATCTAAAAAAATAATGCCAAACCCAATTTATCTGAGATTTTCTCCTACATCATCTTCTGGAAGTTTTACAGTTGCTCATTTTCCATTTAGGTTTCTGATCCATTTTGTCTCATTCTGTGAAAAGTGACTGGTTTGGGAGTATGTGAATGTCCAGACATTCGTCTTCAAGACTGTTCTTTCTCCACTGAGCTGTCTTTGCTCCTCTGTTAAAATATTAGCTGACTACATTGCATAGGTCTATTTCTACACTCTCAATTCTGTTCTTAATCTATGTGTTTATTCCTAACCAATACATGATGTCCTGTTTACAATAGTTTTATGGTAAATCTTGAAGCCAGGTAATGTCAGTCTTCTAAGCTTTGTTCTCTGGCAATGGTGTACTGCTATTCTGAGTCCTTGAACTTTCCACACAAAGTTCAGAATCCACAAAGTAACTTGCTGGGATTTTGCTGGAGTTGCATTAAACCTATAGATCAAGTTGGGAAGAACTGACATCTTTTTTTTGGTGGGGAAGATGGGGCTGGGGTTAAACGCAGGGCTTTCTGCTTGCTAAAGCTTGAGCCAAGCCTCCAGCCGTAAGAACTGACATCTTAATGATTGAGTCTTCCTATCCATAAACACGCACCATTATTAGATTTTGATTTCCTTCACCAATGTTTTTTTTTCCTATTTTGTTAGATTTACACCTAAGTTTTCCATTTTTTGAGTGTTACTGTAGATGGTGGTGTATTTTTAATTTTGAATTCCGATCTTCATTGCTGGTATACAGGGAAAAACTGACTTTTGTAATTAACCTGTATCATGTGTACTCTTTCTGTATTGCTTATGAGGATTTTTTGTTGCTATTGATTCTTTGGGATTTCCTACTTAGACAATCAATGTCATCTGTGAACCAGTTTGTGTTTTCCTTCTCAATAGGTTCATCTTTTCTTTCTCTTATTGTATTTACTAGGACTCAAAGTATGAGGTTAAAAAGGCACAGTGAGAGGAGACAATCCTGCCTTGCTCCTGATTATTAAGTATGATGACAGCAGGTTTTGTGAGGGGAATGTTTTTATCAAGCCAAGGAAGTTCCACTCTTTTCACAGTTTGCTGAGTTTTCATTATGAATGTCATTTGATTTTGTTACTTTTTTGTATCTATTGATATGATGACACAATTTTCTTCTTTAGTTTGTTGATGTGATGGATTACAGTGACTGATTTTCAAATGTGAATAAAACCCACTTGGTTAGGAGTATGATTCATTTTATACTTTATTGAGTCAATTCGCTATTATTTTATTAAGGACTTTTGGGGCCCTACTCATAAGAGAAATTTATCTATCATCTTCCTTTCTTATAATGTCTTTCTCTGGTTTAGGTACTAGGATAACAGCCTCATGGAATAAGTTAGAAGTGTGACCTCTGCATCTACTTTCTGAAAGATATTGTAGAGAAGTCGTATTTCTTGTTTAAATGTTTGGTCAAAGGTATTTTATGTATACACACATATATATCTATTTGGAGTCTGACGCTGTCCACTTACAAGACATTTATAATTTACTTCATTCACGGCATGTACTCATCAGTGACAGAGGAACTAACACATAACCCACCATGCTTACATGGGATTGATATAGTTTCCAACTCTCAGGAAAAGTAGAACAAAACTCTTCCTATTTTAGATGCCCTAAAACAAAGTTATTATCTTTCAGGAAAAAAAAAGAAAAATATTTCTTCTTCCAAAGAAAGAACTACTAGGGGCTGGAGGTATAGCTCAGTGGTGGTACACTGGGTTTACTGTTACCCCCTGCCCCACCACCAACTTAACAATCTGTATTTTAAAAAACCCTGTAACTTCATTAGTGAACTTTCACTGGGCAGGGGGGATGGCTCAGAACCTCAGGAAAAGCCAGTGAGTCTCAAATACTGTAATGCATGGTAGGCACATATTCACTACCGCTCAACTGCCATCTCTCTACACTGAGGTGAGGAACCACGTCCATACCCCTCAAAGACAGCATGAGACTACAGAGCAAGCAACTAACTAACTTAGTTATTCTAAGAGTTTTCTAAATATGTAGACAAATCACTAGTTTGTGGAACAGCATCAGTATAGGAGCTACTAACAGTCAAATACCAACCACAACCACATTGAAAGGGGTCTTGGAATGTGTATGGAGGTAGTATTGCTCAGGGTTATGTAATTCATTTGAATTACCCAGAAGGTAAACAAAATTCTGTTGAACTTGTGATTGTATTACATACCTGAGCATAACAAGCTTCTTCTATGGCTAACCCTGTGACTAAGTCGACCTGAGAACAAAAAACACAGTTCATTGCAGCACAAATAACTTTTAAAAATATGGTAGTCAATATAAATTCAAACTGAATAGCCCTATCCCAAAAGATCAGAATCCTTCAATATAGTACAACTGCTCAGAAAGATGACCAGCATCAGATGTGGAATCAGGATTCCACTTGGGGACCATGTAATGAGGAAAAGTTGTGTAACTTCTCTGTGCTTCAGAGGCGTGTCTGACCAAGAGGCTAATTGTAGAACTCACCAACTGTGTGGGGGGGGGGCGGGCGGGGGTAGTATAAGGATTAAATGAGTTGACTTGAGATAAAGCCTTTATAAAGCAGCTGAAAGCAGATAAAGCCTAGTACATGGTAAGGGCTATTTCTATAAATACTGTTACTATTATGAAAGTACTGAAATAAACCAAATACTTTCAAATTTACAAAACTGCATTTATTGCAAACAAACAAAAAAAATCTTTTTTTATTGGCATAAAGCCAAGGACAATATAATAGTTCCTGTCCCTCAAGGAGAAAGTACCTTTCTTCAAAATCCTGGAAATTAATCAAGATATAACAGCCATCATTAGAAGTTCAAAGTTCATTAGTGCCTGCACTGTCTCTTGCTTACCTCCCTCCCCCTGGCCTAAGGTTCAAGCTCTTTTGCAGACATGTCCCTGGGGTAACCACCAGGATACCCTACAGATTCCCTGTAGAAGCACATTGAGAAGTTACAGCTGGACACAGATTGGAACTGGCAAGTGTTCCTTGTATGATTTTAATAACATGATATTGATGCTGAGAATTCACAGAATGTTTTTGCCTTGGCTTTCTATGAATGAATAGTCAATGAATCTATTAACTAAATGGCAAAAATAACAAGCATGTTATAAGCCGCAGGGCATCACTGAACTTCTGGATTCTGTGGTTATAATGCTAAAAAGAATCTCGGTAGCTTTCAGTAATAGTAACAGCTATATTTTGGAACATTAGAAAATAATGCAAAAGTGTAAACATGGTTCATTTTGATCAAGTCTCCACTATCCATTCCAGTAACAAGATTAAGGAACTTACCTCCATCCCCTGATTAATGGCTAATTTTGCCACTCTCATTGCAACAGGTCCCTAAAATTCAAATTAAATAAGAAAATTATAATTACTATTTATGCAAATTATGCTATATACTTCAGTAAAATTCAGAAATTCCCACTGCTGGATGTATGCCATAGCCAACAACAATTCAGATGCTAAAGGGAAAATTTCTGAGCTTTGCAAGGTCTTAATAACACAGCAAACTGCAACAACTGTGTTGCATCAGCAAGTTACTCAAATTTCACAGTATTCTGCTACCCAGCAACTAGATCCTTAAAGGTAGCAGGTAATGCATGTCCAGGTGAACACTCAGCATTCTTCAATACCTTTCTCTGGAAGTTAAGTAAGGGAAAGAAAAGGAAGTCTCTGGCTCAGTACCACATTGATTAGTGGTTACAACTGAAACTCAGGTTAGAGATGAGACTGTTGTTGATTAAGGTGGGCCACAGCAGCATCCATTTAAGATGTGCTTTGTGCCTCTCCTCCCTTAGCATGACAGATAACCAGCTGCAATGATGGTGGGTTAATATGATTAATATACTGCATCCTCTACACAAATGTTACAGGTGTGTCTGGGTCACCAAGGGGAAAGCTAGACACCCTCTGTGAAAAAGGACTGTGTCCTACTGAAGCTGAACTTCTATAAAACTCTTCTAGAGAAGGCTAGACTCCCCAGATGGAATTTCTTTCTTTGATCTCATGTTAAATTTCTAAAAAAATGTTTATGTGAATTTAATGGTGTATTTTGAATTGAATTGTCTTTTGAATTAAAATGTAAGGTAGGTTCTAAAAAACAGGTACAACAAAGGACTCTTTGTAAGTGAATGGAAAAATGGACAAATTCATGAAAAGAGTCACTTTTTTCCTCTCTAGGTTTCTATAATCAGATCTGATGTACCTAAATTCTTATAGAAGATTTTTAGTTATATGGAAGAGTAATCATCTAGCAACAAAGTAACAAATGTAAACACGAAGATTATTTTATTCCAACATGTTTTGGTAACTTGTGCATACAGTCACATTTTCTGAAGTCATTCAACATCTCACTGTACATTTGTCTGACCTGGGGAAAAGTTAATTTTAACCACTAATGTTCTCAGAGGAGTGTCCTTCAGATGAAAGGTAATGAAGCCTGCCCATGATGGTGACAAATGTCTGGCTTACCATATAGGGTATGCAGTTCATGTCATATCTGCAGTAGGAGAGAGGGAGACAGAGGGAGGTACGTGGTACTGCCTTTCTCAGGCAGGGTGATGTGGACAGTGATAGCATTAACTGTACTGAGGCTAACAGGAGAAGATGCATGTTGGAAGCTAAGGAGCCAATGCCCCCTATGTGAAGCTCTGAATCTCCAAGCTGTATGCTTAGGGCCATAAATAATCAACATCATGAAGATTCCAAGGCTTTTCTTAAACATGCCCCTTGATTTCAACTGAGATATGCTTTGGTCATAAAGACTTAAGCCAAGGGAAGTCATTATACCAATATTTAACTAAAGCATACTTTCCCTAACACTTGTACCTTTAATTTCTCTTTAAGGATACTTCCCTAATATTTTTGGGAAACATCAAAGTTCTAACAAGATTCTTTTTTTTATGTGTGTTGAACTTGAGATTCTTTTTTTATTTGTTCTCTTCATCTATTAAACAATACTGACTTGATCTCTACTGAGTGTAAGGCTAGTGTTACCTCATATAGTGAATGAATTATACAAAGACTGTGCCCTAAGAGAGCCAACAGCTCACAAGGTAATTAAAAAAGAACCAGAGTAGCATCAATACCTGGCAGTGTGGTTCCAGAAGCCAATTCCACAGTATGACTCTGTCTGACAGACTTTGGGACAGGCTTATCAAAGCAGAGCAGTAAAGGTTCTTACCCTGAAGGCCAACAATACCTTCTGAAACTGGAAGTAAAACTCTGGACAAAATTTTTTGTTGTTGTTGAGAAAGATTTCATGACATTCCAAAAAGAATCCACGGCCCTTTTATAAATGGGTTATAAAGCCCATTTGAGGTTCGTGAGTCAAAACTAGAGAAACTCATCTTGATCCAGAAATAGGAGAGAGAGCTATAAAACTTCAAGCTCCATTAAAGACAAAGAGATTATCACTGATCACTTGCACAGCAAAAGGAGACTCTTCCTCTCATGTTAAAATCCTTTAACCTATGATTTCAGACAAAAGGAGCACTTTAAAAATATACCTGAGTGACGTAACAAGGAATACATCCTAACAGGACCACAAATGCACTGCTATAGACATTACTCACACGCGTAATACCGTTATAAACATGCAGTGTGTTCCTGATCTTGCAATGTGCTTGTGAGGAAGCAGGAGTGACAGCAATGCCAAACTCACTGGCAAAGCAAACATATGAAACTCCACACACACCTGCCACTTCTCCAGCAGGTCACCTCAAATGAAGCCACCACAACAAAGTCCACTTGGTAGTAACAGACCTCAATCTCCTTACTCAGTTTTTCAATGTGTTCCGACACGGGGCTGGTCCAGTGTAACAACCCACCCCCCGCTTTGCCTCTCTACAGGATGACTGAGGTTAGAGCGCTTGGCAAGCAAACTAAAACAATTTACTAGGAATTGTGCCACGTGTGCCAAATGTTTGTGTGAGATATTATCAGAATGTGGCTATAGGAGTTTTAATTCTCAAGAACCTTAATGGCAATTCAGTGTAACGTTTCTAGTTGTACAGCTACCATGCATTCCTGTACTTGGAAAGCAGGTCGAGGACATCGCGGGTGTGAGGTAACTGCTATTTTAGTTAGTATGTTATGAGGTCATCTAACACAAAGGAACTCTAGTCAGCAGTACCTGAGGTAAAAACTCTCTTGCCAGGTCCAGGGCCTTTTGGTAGGCAGCATCTCCCTCCTGGTTCTGTTCCAGAACATGGCTGATCAAGCCCACTGCTTTGGCTTCTTGGCCATCGAGCACACGCGCAGAGAAGATGAGCTCTTTGGCCAGGGACATCCCAATGGCACGCGGTAATCTCTGTGTGCCCCCTGAGGGGTGGAGAGAGGAAAAGCTTTGAAACCTTGGCTTGAAACCTTGTAGCTTCAACATTTCAGTGTTTCCTTGGTTTATTTGTAAAAATGTATCAGGATCAGAAGTTTATATGTCAAAATTAGTCACTGAAAGACTACGTCAAGAAAGGATCTAATTTCTTAGTTACTTTATGCAATTAATAACACCACAGAAGTATTTGGGAATTTTGAGTGACTTTGGCACCTGCAACGCATTCCTGAATGCAATCCACAACCAGCATATCAGCAGCCCTAGTCGAACAACACTGGACAAGCAAAGCTGCCCACAAGTGACTAGAAATGCAGAATCCCATCAAGCATGGCAGTTTTCTTTCAGCAGAGACAAAGCTTTTATCAAGTTCGGAGAAAATGAATTTATGAGTTTTTAGAGAATGCTTTAGGCTGAGTGGACAGTAAACCAATTTTAATTGGCTTTTTCCTGTACTGCTCATTTTCTCAGTGCAAGTCCCATCATCCCTGCTGGTGTCTCCTGTTTTGAAAATGCTGTCACATAACAAACCCTCCTCCCAGTCGCTGTGAAAATCCACTCAGTAGAGCAGAACCATGCATTTGGTTTTGACTTTGCTGTTTACCATCTTAGGGATTTGGAGAGTTGATTAACTCTTAAACTCCAAGGGAATTCAGGAGCACAGCAGCACAATTTAGGCTAATCTCAGGTCAGAACAGTTCTACAGCAAAAGAGGTCTGATTTGTCAAAGACTGGCTAACTCATTCAATCCATCAGTCTATTCACTACAGTATCTTTTAGTGAAGAGGCCAGGACCTCAATAACAGAAGCTGGACAAAAGCAGGTAATATAAATCTAGCCTACACTTCTACCAATAATACAGAACAAGTACAACACTAGGATTCTTCTACATCTTACCCTTTAGGTGTCTGCTGCACACATGTGACCAAGATGCAGAGGAAAAAATGACTACCACATTTTAGAGTAGAAGAAAATGGATGCATCACTGTCTACACAAGCTCACTGGATTTCATGTGACCTACAAAAGTTTCAACTCCTCTCCCTTCACCCCCACATTAGTTACCAACATTTAAAAACTGGATGGGTGATTTTAACTAAAACAATGTCTTAACTGAAAAACATTTTCCACTTGAAAGGCAACTGCAACTGCATCTTTTAAATGTAATGTTTTCCAGTTTGCTACAGTCTCTGCCACTCTATCACCCCACACTTCAGAAGAACTTTTGCTTGCCTTTGAAAGGAGAATTTTTTATTTACATCTCTATAAAAAGTTGGAGGAAAAAATAAAGACTACAAGTTTTAAGAAGGCATATTTTCTTTTCGCAAATGAAGTATATTCTTACATGTTCAACAAAGTATGCCTGAATTGGAAAAACAGAGTTTAAGATGCTATTCATAAACTAGCCACGTTTAAAACCATCTAGAAAATATGAGTAATTAAAAAAAAACCTCAATGAACTGCATGCAGCTTCTTCATCAGGTCATCTAAAATGAAGCTACCACAACAAGAGCCTGCTTGGGTATTAACAGATCACACTTTTCTTATTTATTAGGAAACAGTGCATTTTCAATGTGCTCTGACGGGGGATTTGGTCCAGTATATCAACCCACCCACTGCTCTGTCCCTCCTTCAGGGATGACTTATGTTGGAGGCTCAGTTGGTAAACAAAGTAAAACAATTTGCTAGGACATTGAGCCATATATGCCACAAACATGGAAAAAGACTAATACTTTCCATAGAGATTTTTCAAACATAAATGAGTGATGCTTCTGTAAAGTGCAATTATATTCTTTGGTGTCCAAATGGGTAAGAAATAGTGAGTTTATAAGTACTTAACAAATACTACAGAAAAACGTGTGACTGAAAAGAATGAAGCCTTGCCAGTTTACATTAAACTGTAAACAATGATGCTGCTCAGTGAGTAAAGACAGGTCTGAGAACTTATGGGACAAGCTACATGGAAAAGACAAGTTTTTTTTAATGGTGTTTCCAATAGCAGCTGATTAGAGATACATAAAAACAATGTAACCAGGTAAGTATATTTACTCATGGAACTGATGAAAATTTTAATTATACTGAAGAACTTAATGGATATAGTATTCCCTATAAGCATTAAAGAAACATTAAAAAGAATTCTTTTTTGTGTTCACGTGGAAAGTTCAATGGAGACTGGGCAAAATTAATAAATGTGACCCTTCTTGTCTATGTCATAGTTTTTATTCAACTGAAACTCAACATGTGGCAAGTCCATGAAGCTTACATTCACTCATCACATCATTCTGTTTATATAGAATCATTCTGCAGGAATGAAAATTCTTGCAAAAACCTGAAGTGACAGTCACAGAGGTGGAAATGCCATTCTCTGGAGGAAAATGACACGTCTCATTGCCTTGCTCCATGAGGTGGTTGCACAGCAAGCCCATCAGTTGCCAGAGGGATGATGTAGAGGTGAGAGGCTTGGTACTCAGACAGCTTTCTGATCTACGAAAGCCACACATTATAGGAGCCAAGGGAACCTCCTCAACTGGGCTCACCAATGAACACAATGTCACAGATGGCCCTTTAGGGTGACATCACAGACCATCAACTCTAAGTACTTCATGTAAAAAGGAAATGCACAGCATCTGTCTTTTATGACTGGGTAACTTCACTTACAATGTCCTCAAAGTTTATCCGTGTTGTGGCATACGTTAAGATTTCATTCCTTTTTAAGGCTGAATAGCATTCTGTCATATGTATTAATATACACCACACTTTGCTTACCCTTGGATGGACATCTGGGTTGCTCCCATCTTTTGGCTATCATGAATAATGCTGCTATGAACATGAGTGTACAAATATCTTTTGAAGATGCTACTCTGTATTCCTTTGGACACATAACCAGAGTTTTTCAAGAAATCACTACACTGTTTTTCATAGTGACTGAACCATTTTACATTTCATCCTAGAGCAAGGGTTTCAATTTCTTCACATCCTCACCAACACTTGTTGTGTTTTCAGTTTACAATTTAAATTTACTTTTAACTTATACATAAAAATATTTAAATTGTACATAATTATTGGGTACCATGTGCTATTTCTATACATGTATACATTTTTCCATGTTAAATGGTAGCTATCTCCTCAAACATTTATTTATAGTGAAAACATTCAAATTCCTTTCTTCTATGTAGCTTATGTATTTTTTAAATATTCAGTACATTACGCATAGCCATCCCACCAGAACTTCTTGTTCCTAACTATAACTTCATACCCTTCGATCTCTCTCTCCCTCTGTCACTCATGACTCACTCTCCCCTACTCTCTCCAACCTCTAGTAACCACCACACAACTCCCAACTTCTGTGAGATTCACTTTTTTATATTTCACAGAAAAGTGAGATCATGTGGTACTTGTCTTTCTGGCTTACTTCATTTAATACAATGAGCTACAGTTCCATAGATGCTGCCACAAATGACAGTATTTCATTTCTTTTGGGGGCTGAACAGTACTCCATGGTGTATGCATGTGTTTATACACATACTACTTTTTATTTATCCATTCATCAGTTGAGGGACACCTAGGTTGTTTCTATTTTGTGGTTATTGTGGACAATACTGAAATCAACATGGGAGTGCAGACATTTCTTCAACATACTGATTTCATTTACTTTAGATACATACCCAGTAGTAGTTTGCTGGATCATATGATAGTTCTTATTTTTAATTTCGTTGAGGAACCCCCATATGGTGCTCCATAATGGCTGCATTAGTTTATATTCTCACTAATAGTCTATAAGGGTTGCCTATTCTCTGTGCCGTCCGCCAGCACTTACCTCTTAGTCTTTTTGAGAACAGCCATTCTTTCTGGAGTGAGGTGTGACATCTCCTTGTGGTTTTGGGTTACATGTTCCTGATTAGTGATGCTGAGAATCTTCTCACATCTGTTGTTCTCACATGTCTGCAAGTCTTCTCTCGAGAATGTCTACTCAAAGGGTATAATGGCCATTTTTAAATTGGGTTGTTTTCTTTGTTGATTTTATTGAGTCCCTCATATACTCTGAATATCAGTCCCTTGTGAGAAGTATGCAGATATATTCTCCCATTCTCTAGGCTGCCTGTCTACTATGCTAAGTGAAGGCAGGTAGCAGCAGCTTTTTAGTTTGATGTAATCCCATCTTTTTTGCTTTTGTGGTCTTGTCCAAAGTATCTTTGGTGTTAGTGCCTTCCCCTATTTTTTCTCCTACTATTTGCAGTTTGAGGTCTCACATTTACATCTTTAATCTATTTGAGTTGATTTTTATAACTGGTTATAATTTCATTCTTCCGCATGTGGATATACAATTTTCCTAGCACCATTTATTAAAAAGATTGTTCTTTCTTCAGGGCATGTTCTCAGTATCTTTGTTGAAAATCAGTTGGCTGCAGACATGTCCATTTACTTTCAGGCTTATTCTATTCTGCTCCATTGGTCTATGTGGCTGTTTTAATGCCAATACCATCCTGTTTTGCTTATTACAGCTCTGAAGTATATTTTGAAGTCACCAGGTAGTGTAATGCCTCCTGCTTTTTTCTTTTTTGCTCATGATGTCTATTTTGGGGTTTTTTGTTCTGTACAAATTTTAGAATTTTTTTTCTAGTTCTGTGAAGAATGTCATTGGTATTTTGATAGGGATTATACTGACTCTGTAGACTGCTTCAGGTAATATAGACAGTGCTGATTGTTCCAATCCATGAACACAGCATGCCTTTTCATTTTCTGTGTCCCCTTCAATGTCTTTCTCATCAATGTTTCTAGAGACTTATTCCTATGTATTTATTATAAATGAAATTGCTTTCCTGATTTCCACTTCAGATATTTGTTACTGGTATATTAAAAAGGTTTTGTACATCAACTTCTTATCCTGAAAGACTGAATTTATTAGTACTAATAGTGGTGTAGTGTATTCTTTGGAGTTTTCTATATATAAGATTATGTCATCTGCACAGTAACAAGCTGACTTAATCTTTT